AAAGCAACGAGGTGGGATGCTGTTCTCATGTGGCACTGTGTCCCTGTCCCACGTGCTCCTCCTGTCGTGCAGGTTGTTGTTTCCCATCAGGCTGTGAAACAATACCCGTGCACAGCACTTCCAATGCGCCCATGGCCACAGCCCCAGGGCCACTGCCCAGACCCTGCTCCAGCTCCAGCTCTCGCTCCACTCCTGACGTCCAGGACAGCTGCACGCTGCCACCCACCTTTGCTCACTCCTATGGCTCCATCTCCCTCGGCAAGTGCTGGCCAGCCCTGTGCACCCCACAAACCATCAGACCCTGGACGCAGCAGCTGTGTAAAGGCCACAAGCACAACAGTAGCACCAGCCTGACCCAGGCACATGAACTGTCTGTCCATGAGGACACCTGAGAGAGGCCACTAGGGGTTGTATGGCCACTCACTGTTGCCTCATACACCTACATTGCCCAGATGCTGTGGCCTCAAGCTCACACAAAATAACCTAAATGTGTTAAATTCAACAAAAAGAGGAAGTCTGAGATGTGCACACCATTTGAGGAGTGCTGAAGAGCACACACAAGGAAAGCAGAGCCATTTCATGAAGACCAAGCAAGGCCTCTGCCTGCAGTGCCCATAGGAGGGCTAAGCCAGTGCCTCTGCAGGCGTACAAGGCAGGCTGGGTGCTTGACTATCATCCCTGAGAGCAGCTTTCTGCTGCTGCAGGTCATAGGGCTCTTCCCTGAGTCACAGAAAAAACTTGCCCCTAAGAAGAGTGGCATTGCAAGACCATGACACAGAGGCCTGGCTGTACACAATACCTTAAAACACACCTAACAAAGAACAAGCCCCTGAAAACTTGCTTGTGCCAGAAAAGCCTTTGCTACTGAATACAGGAGCAAGGCTGAGGAACCCAGAAACGCACGCAGGATTTCCTGAGGCCAGGCCCTGACTCCACGGCCTGAGCTTGCGTCAGTAAATTGCAGCTCCAGGTGCCAGCAGCCCCAGGACACATTCTCATGCCCCTGCCTTGCATAGGAGGTGTTTGATGGAGGTGCAAAGCAAGCAAATCAGTGGGTCCCCAGCAGGTCTACCCAGCTCACTCTTCAGGCGAGCTCTCATCCATCACCTGCAGCCCAGTCCATGGTGGTGCCCAGCCAGCAGCAACAATGCCTGGACATCATAGCCAGCCGCCACTCTGGTGCACTGGTATGCTGTGAAAGAAAGGAATTTCTGTATAAATCCCATTTACCATCGGGTTTCTCACTTCCCTTCCAGCAGACAATCACAGCCCTCAGAGCACTGCTGTATGAAGGGACTGTTTAATATATTTTTGGAAGAGGAAAAAAAAATCACTCAAAAGAGCCTCTTTCAGCTAATAATGAAGTGAATATTATATTAAGAATGAAAACATATTCAGGGTAACTTACAGAGGGAGACAGAAAACCTTTTCATAACACCCTGGCCACAAACACAACTGCCAATTAAACCAGCTTCGTTCTCTAGCCTGTGCCAACACAAACGAGGGGGCAGGGAACATGGAAGCACCGGGTGCCCATGCAGCTCAGCCCCGGCCAGGCAGCTGGCGCCACCAAGCAGTTTCCGCTCTGCTGACTTTCAGGCCCAGCTGCTGAAATAAAAAGGCTCAAGGCCCCATCCGGCACAGCTCGGGGCTGCTCCACATGCAGGGGCTCTCAGCCGGGCTGTGGCAATATGCCAGGGGATGCTTGGCCCACAAGCCTGTTTTTGCTTCTCCTTGGGAGTACACCACACTGTAGGGCTGCTTTGGTAAAATTTTATTTTGCTGCTCTCTTTGCAGAGGGCAGGTTGCAGCACCTGGGTACTGCCACCGTGGGGACAGGAATCCCCATGGCACCAGGCCCAAGGGACCATAAGGGCAGCAGTGTGTCCCTACAGCAAGGTGCAGAGCTGGTATAGCCAGCCTCCAACACCTGCCATGGGGTCTCAGGTAGGTGACACCTGCACCTTGATGCTCTCTGCATCTCCCATCCGACACCCTGCAGGGCTGAGAACAGGTCTGCCACCAGGACCACAAATGTCAGCTCAGACTGTAGTAGAGGTGCCAAAACATGGAGCACCTCCGAGCATCCCTATCACCACCAGTGGCCATAGGTTCTCACATGCCCTCAGTATGTCACCCCGCCTTTGTTTCTGACATTCCATGCATTTTGGGTACCTGCTGGTGATCCCAGCTCACCCTAACCCCAGAGGTGCTGCAAGCACAGCCCACACACTTGTGTACACAACATGGTAGGGGCATTGACACCTGCCAATGCTCTCCAGGGTCACATCATCTGCCATCAGAACAGACAAGGGAGGCACGGGCACAGCATCCTCACTGCAGGGCTCACTGGCACAGAGCAGTGGTGCAAGGACGGGGGGGGCAACAAGCAGGAGAGTTGGCTGGCAGCTGACACCCAGGAGGCAGGGGTTCTCATTTGCACGTCATGTGCAAGCCCGAAAACCTAAAGTGATGGTGAAGGAGTGAGGGCACGCATCATCTTGGGTTTTGGTTAAGCTCAAGCACATCCACACCAGGAAAACATCATAGGATATCAGATATTTTAATTTCAAGTTCAGAAGCTGCAAGCTGACATTAGATAAACCCACACTGGAAATACAAGACCACTTTTGAGCTCAAAGTGGTAACCAACCTTTGGAACAGTTCCTTCATGGAACACCCTGAAGATGTTTGTCAAGCTATTTAATAGCGGAGAAAAAATTAGCGTTTTGGCCAAAAATAAAAATTCCAGTAGTAAACTTATCAAAATCCCACATTTTCTGATTAACAATCAGAAACGGTGTTTCTCTGCAGAGATTTTTCTGTTTTGCCCAAGGACTTGCATTTCTGTTTTAATGCCAAGTAAAGATTCAAGCACATTTTTGATCTTGCCCAGAGGCTGAAAATTCACATTTCTTCCTTTAAAAAAATCACAACAGTAATTTTTGGCATTAATTTAATACAGACTAAAACCAATCATTTCAGCAAGCTCTACTTGTTCATGCAAAGTCTGCAATATATCAGTAAACTTGTCTTCGAACTAAAGACAGACTCCAGGTCAAATACATGCCCCACACAGCCCTGGCCTGAGCAGCAGCCTGGAGATGTGTAATTACCATTACTGGAAGCACTGCAGTGTGCACAGCCAGCAGCTGACAACAGGAGAAGATCTTCCCGAGACTTATAGGAGTCCCCACTGTGAGCCATCCCACCAACATCTACTTACATATATGTGATTTTACACCTTGAATGCCTTCCTTGAGTTTTGTCTCTACAAGTTTAGAGAGCAGCCTTTGCAAGGTTGTCTATGCACAGCTGTGCTGTTCGCACGTCCACCCAAAATGGTGGTCACTCACTCAACCCATCACCCAAAGGCTCTCAGAAATGCTAAAATGTCCCACAACAGAGCAAAAGGCTGAGAAAGCACTGTAAAAGGCATAGCTATCTCATGCTGGAAAACACTGCCATATTTATGTCTTCAGGTGTTTTATCTGATCCTAACAGTCACAAAACAATTGTCTGCTTCACACAGAAAAAATGCATCAGCTTCCAATCAAAAGAAGCTATTGGAATAGCTTGTACAAAAACAGTATCCAGATATAAAACCCACCAGAAACAAACCCCTTAATTGCATTACCTTTGACGTAAGTATTACCAAGGATGCATTGCCATCTAGTGTCGACCCAGCAAAAAAATCCATCATGGTACTACGAACCAAATGGGGACTGGAAAAGACCAATGCAAAGCACAGGACACTGGGCTGCCTGTGCAGTCTGTGGGACAGAACAGCTGGGAAACTCTGGCCACAACAGCTATGGAAATCCAAATGCAAAAAGCCAGCCACATTAAGCAAATGACAGCCCAGGCTTAAGACCTTTTAACCTGATTTGTGTCACCTGCCAGTTCATTCAGTCTCACTGAATACCTTCCATGCAACACTTGCTTTTCTGTTGCATATTATCACCACACATCAGGACTCTTGAAGCAGGATAAAACATTACACGGTATAATTAAGACAGGTAGTATTTTATAATTTTCTGGTCATCAGATTGATGCTTTTGAAGGCTTTTGGAAAAAGCAGGTCTGGCAAAGAGGCATATTGTTTGTTAGGGAAAAGAGGAAGAAACGAACCTCACAATCCCTTTAGACCTGTTTTCTTCAAACTAAGCAGCACAGCAGGTTGGATGTTCTCCTTCTCAGAGCCCAAGACATCCTTTCTCCAGAAGCACAAAGGACAAGAACAAGCAGACAAGCAAAAAGGCCCACAAGAGGGTTTACAAAGTGCTGCCAATCCAAAGCTTTCCTAATTTTCATTTTTTTTTTTTCCCTTCTTCAGTATGTCCTAATGAGAGGGCATTTTATTTTAACGTACCATCAGTGTGGTGATATGGAGTCCAAAAGCCATAAAGGTGCTGGCAGAACTGGGGAAAGCAAGAACACTTCGTACATCTCTCTCCAGGCAAGAGGCCACCTTGGAACACATGTTGACCACAAACAACTCTCCCTGCCCTGCAAGTCAACACTGTGGTACTGAATCACGTTTGGAAGACGTTACCCATCCTAGTCAAACAGACTGGACAAGTATCATTAAAAGAGCATTTCATGTTACCAGGCTTCTCCTCCACAGAATCTGAGTGGCTTCTTGTCAGTTCTGCATTCTCTTGCTGCTCTCTCACTAAGAGGCACTTGGTTTTGCACTTGTTCAGGAAGAATTAGAGCACATAGTGGATTTTACTTAAAAAGGAAACCAACTTGATCAGATCTAGAGAAGTCAGCAGTATTTGAAGGGGAAAAGGAAAAAGCTGGTAGTCTTAAATCATTAGACATTTAGTATCAACACTCACTGGAATGTTTAGTCAAAAAAAAAAACAAAAAAACTGTAACATGTTGCTGCCCCAGACTGGAGCTAGCTACACTAACAAACTGGAGCCTATTTCCAAATTCCAGTTCCTTACACTGGCAGAGACATTAATCACTCTTGCACAATAAATGGGCACAAGTCCTGCCAACATAGTTCTGATTTATTTTTCAGAACAAAAACAGTACGAAACGTAACTTTTAAAGAACAATCTGTATAAACAATACAAAACTTCATGGCATTTATACTTACAGATTCCATAAAAGCAGCCCAGAACCTGCAAAAGGTAAGGCTTCAAATTTTCTTCAAAGAGTACGCAACAGAGAAGAGAGCAATCCTTCTATACGGCAGTACTTAGTTCTAGAAACTAAGCCCCAGAACATGGTGAACAAGAACCAAATTCAGGAAAACCAGGTTGTGTGTATACCAACAGAAACTCCACATTATACTCTGAACAAGACCACACTTTCCCCTTTTCCCAAAGCACAGATCCAATGCTGAAATCTTCATCTGCCCAGAGGTAGGTCATCTTCCCATCCAAGAACTGTTCTTTCATCAGCTGGGGAAGTCCTAGGACAATAAATACCAGTCAACATTCCCACAGGGATCACTGTGTATTTTATTCCACTGTAGCATCTCCAAGCCTTAAGAAGTCAATCATTACTAGCCCATGTGTACAGTAGCCTTAAAAGAATTACCAAAGAGTTCTGTTAATTAGCAGAAGTGGAACTGGCATAGTAGAATTCCTATAAAATGCAACTTCCTCACCTGGGACTTGGAAGAAACTGATTATTAAGCAGTAAGAATTTAATACTAGCAAGCCCACCTCACAGTGGCCTGAAATTGCCCTTCAGACCACCTCCCTTCCTACACCAAGTCACTAATATTACACATAATCAGTGTTTTTTCCAACCCTGTTCTGGGAACCCAAGACTGGAGATCTACATGTACTCTTTGCCTTTGAAAAGTTAGTTTTCTGTCTTTTAGATTCACCATGCTCCTCCTCTGAGATTCCTGTTGCTTCTCACTGCATTTGTTTGCTCCCATCTTCATCCCCTCCTCACACCTTAGTCCCATGTGGAAGGCATTTCCACCAAGAGGCTTAGCAACATACAACACCTGCAGCGCATCAAGGCATACAGTGCTCCCAGCATCTCATCCTTTGTTATCTCCGCTTGCCCCATCACTCTCACTTGGGATTGTTTTTTTTTCTTTTTTTTTTTTTTTTAAACCAGTCTTGGAGTCCTAACATATACCAAATGACAGATTCTGTACCCAGAGAAGCCTTTCTCTCACTTGCAACTCCTGCCCCATCCCGCCAGCTCTTTAAGGTCAGTAGAGCTTCACTGGAAGGAAAACAGTATCTAGATATAAGGCATTCTCTCTGGATGTAATGCAGACCTGTTTCTAAGCTGTGATTTTTTCCCCCCCTCTCTGTGGAACCCCTTAGGTCACTGATCAGGACTCAGATCACCTGCCTCACCCTCTACGTGGTGACAGTTTCACAACACTGACCTTGCTGGGAACAGTTCACCTGCTCCTGTGGTGCCTCTTCCAGCCATACTTTGCCTCCCCAACTGCAGAGAGGAGCAGCACCTCTTGCTCCTAGTCCCTCACAAGCTGTTTGAGCTCGTATTCTAGTACTGGCTCAACACCACAAGTTCTCTAGTGCAGCTGTGTTGCATGTAAGCAGAACATGGGATTCCCTGTTTTCCTCACAGCCATTAAGCACCTGTGGTAAGACGTACATGCTGCTTTCCTACGTACCTGTTACGTGTTTCAGCATCCTGCTCCTCATGATGCTTCTTCAACTGACAACCCTAAGATCACTCAGAGGAATACAGATATGGAAGGTGTTCCCCTAATTTGTCAGGGCACAAACGGTCCTGAAACACTGCTGGGAAGTCAGCCTCATTTCTCCAGCATTTTGAGGCTGAACGGTGGAAGGGAAAGAAGGAAAAGAACCAAAAACCTTGCAAAAATCCTTAAAAACCTTTCCACGAAGTAACCCGTTATCTGTCTCTTGCTCTCCTGTTCTGGTGGTCAAAAGAAAAATGCACATTCAAAAGATGCCCTATCTTCTCTCAGCTTAAGAATACCAGGAGCCCAAGTCAATTTTTGCTACTCTTTCAGGAGCTGTAGCCACTTGAGCTTTTTCAGTCAGCGTGGCTGCAGTGATCTCTGCAAATTTAAATCAAATAACTTCACAAAATAGAGAAGCCTGCTCCTTAGAGGATATCAACTTACAGACTGCTATCCGGAAAGTTGAAGAGCAGTAATTCTAAAGAAAACAGACATTTAACAACTAAAGGATGAGAAGACAAAGCATGCTTAAGATACACACCTCATTTATTATATAACCTTGGAAGGCACATATTTTGCTCTGGCACCACAGGATCACAGGACAATTAGGGTTGCAAGGAACTGGTCTCCAGTTCAATACCCTGTTCACAGAGTTAGCTGTGAGGTTGACTGGATTACTCATCTTCCCCCAATGACTTTGAAGAACCCAGGTTTTATTCAGTCAGTACACTCAGAGCCACACAGGACAACTCAGAACCCATGACTCAAATGACACCCTGCCAGAAAAAGTAGTCTGAATCAGGACAATCTGCCTCTCTGAAAAGCTGGCCCCAACTACAGTTTGGGATTTAAAAAAAAAAAAAAAAAAAAAAGCACAGAACAGTCAAGTAACTTTCAGGATTACTGGAAATTCACCAGCAGCAGATTTCTAGTCTAGCACAAAATAGGAGTCACTCTATCAAGTCAGCACTTAGTCACTGCCCTGGTTCATCATCCAGACTCATCTTACAGCTTCATTTATAAGGTTACCTCTTACTGCCAAACCTTCCAAAACCAGGGGTTCACTGAGTACCTTGTGTTACATTCACGGCTTTGTGCTGACAACCTAGTACATACCTTGACCAAGAAAAAAGGGAGAAGTTTATGGAAAAAAATTACTAGAGGACACTGCAGCTGATCTCTTTTCTTTGAAACTTTGAAAGTTAATCAGAGATAGAAATGCTTAAATGCTCTGGTGTACAGCATAGAATTGTAGCAATCAGGACAAAAAATAAAAGGCTTCTGAAGTGAAAAAAAATCTGCATACTTGATGTTCTATGCTTTATTAGAGAAAAGCATCTTTGCTCCTGTTAAAATGCAACTGACTTCTACTCTGCTGCTACTTGTCAGTCTACTACTATACCCACGCAGCACTTCCTTTTATGTGTCCCTGATAGGCATACATAAAAGATAATCACGTTATGTTTCTACTGTTAGTTGCGGTTTGGGGTGTCTAGCTGGATATAAAACCTACAGTTACTGAGACTTCTCATACACCACAAAAACAGGAGAACAAACCGAGTCTTCTGGTTTCATTGCTGCTATTTGAAGTAATAAAGTCTTTACATAGAGCTAATTAAAAAAAAAATATTCAAACTGAAACCCTAAAGCCATTTCAAGGAGCGTTTGATCAGTTCATCTCTTTCATTTCCACCTAATGGCTACACAATCAAAAGAGAAGTGGAAGGGAAATGAGCAGCCCTGAAGATGTTGAGTTGGAAGGCGTTCAAAGAGTTTGCTGTTCCTACAGGTAGGAGAACAGCACGCTCCAACCAGGACTCCACTCCAATGTTTGTTCCCTTAAAAACAGGTTGGCAGCAGCTCAGCCACACAACAGCAACACTTGCTCACTTTGAAGTTCAGACAGAAGTCTGTTTTACCCAGCTATTTTAATTCATGCTTCAGAAAGACAAGGCAGTTGAGCACCAATTTACAGTAAACAATAAGCCAGGTCACAGGTCGTTTATAACCACAATCGCCTTTACTCTGCATTAAAGCCATAATTAACTATTAATGTTCAACTAAAGCTTTAAAATGTAAGCTGCTTTTTCTTGCATGAAGAACTGCAGTTGCATCTTCCCTGGTTCCCCCTCTCCTGCCTCAGCCTCCAGAAGGGCTACAGGAAAGAACATGTAGGCACCAAGCATAGCAGATGAAATTTTTGCTGAAGCACAAAGAAGCCAAGAAGTGTGCACTTAAAGCACTGTTCCTGTCTTTTCAGCCCTCATTAAACTCGTGCTTTGAATCAGCTGCTCCCATGAGCACTGCACTAAGATAACCCACTGTGAGAAGGAACTTCTCAAGAGAAGCGATCAAATAATCAGCTTTGTGGAGAGCAGATAACCTAGGAGGCTAGCCTGGCTGTTAAATCCCAGTGAAGTGTCTTTAAGAGACAACAGCTACTTTCAGAGAAATGAAGCCTACAAGTGCTTCGCTTCTAACAGGAGAACACCTCATTTTCAGCACTTCAACTCAAACCTTATGGTCACTGACTATAGAGAAGAAAGGAACAGTCTTGATTTGTTAGTCACAAGGATATAGTACATCTTATACCACAGGTCCCCAAGAGCACTCCAAAAGAGCACATTTCATGCACACTTTTTAGAGCACAGATCAGCAAAGGAGCTAAAACCTTCTACAACAGCAATTGCCCGAGAAGTGCTCTTCATTCAAGACCTGACAAGTCCAAAAGGAACTGCCACTCTGAAATAACAGTCTAGAGAAAAAACACTGCCACCAGGACATGAACAAGCTCCTTCTTAACCTCCCTAAGAGGTTACTGACAGGCTGCAGATCTTTTGAACACAAGAAAAAAGTCCAGCTACAGCTTTATCAGCTAGCTGATAAGATGTGCTGAGTGATCCATCCTGATACAGTGAGAAGAAACAGCTATTTACAAGACCAGAGAATCATGGTTTGTCAGAACATTATTAGAGGGAATACTACACATCCCCATGACACGTATTCCATCTCGGAGCATGCAACATTCCTTCAGAAGATAACCTAATTAGGATACCATTTATCTGCTATGAAAGCAATTTTGATGTCAGCCATACCTTCATTTGTCTCACTTAGGTGTTTAGGGATGTCTGCCTGTTATTGCCTCAAGTGAAATCATATTGCTTCAAGTGAAATTACTTATGGCCAAGATTACTGTGAAGCCTATCTTCAGGTAGTACAAGAGCATGCAGAAGCTGAGAGGCTCTGCAGGTCTGAAGGTTTCAACAGGCTGATCAACAGCTGCCAGGAGTACCGCAACACAGGTTCAAGAGATGTCAAAATTCAAAAAGCGAAGGTGCAAGTAACAGATGCTTTACTCCTTGCTTATATTGAGCTACATCAACTTTCATTGTCTTCTTAAGATCTGTGCTTAAAGTGTTTTTTTTCCCCCCATGATAGCTTTTCTTGCCAGTGGATCCATAATCCTCAACTCTGCAAAGGATCCACAATGAGTCAACTGCCTGTACACTAGAAAGCCAGTTCAGTGGAAGGAAGAATTAAGAATTAACTGGAGATCCTTAATTAGTCTTGACAACAGAGAGCTTGAATGCTGATGACATGCACTACCACCCTTAACCTGAGGTGATGGTGAAAGGGTCTGTCAAGTCTGCTCAGGTCTTTTGTGCAACAGGGATACCTAAGGCAAAGAAGAGAAACACAGGAAGTAGAGCTCTTTGCCAGGCATTTCCAAAGGAAAATCCCTTAAAAGCAGCAACAAACCTTCATCA